TTTGGCAGGTTTTTTTTTTTTTTTTTTTTTTTTTTCTATTTATGTTTTTTGTACTTGTTTTCTCGGTATTTTTCTTTTAGCTTACCCGCCAATAGATTACTGGACACTTGCGTCGACATGTTGCGCTGCACTCAATAGATCAATACAAAATTTCTATATGGCTTTGCAGTGCGTTTCAGTTACGAAAAACTCGCAGCCTCGCCAATATCGCTGGAGAAACGAAACACAAACTAAATAGAAAAAAAAAAAAGAAAAACCAGTTGTGCGTTGAACACGTTTGCTAGAAAAGTGCAACTGAAAACTCAAGGTGAAAACGCGAATGCACACAATAAATATATATATATGTGAGTATATGTATGTGTATATATGTATGCTGTCACACACTGCGTATGCGTAATAAATATTTATGCACTTGGCCAAAACTTGAGGCTCGATTGCAACGGCGACGGCGACGGCGACAGCGACTGCAAAGGCGATAGCGACTTGTTTTAGCTGAGAAATCACAACGCGCACTTCACACTTTAAAATTTTACCAAAGAAGTAAAACAACAACAAAAAATATGCTGTTTGCTTTGCCATTGGCTGCGTTTAAGAGTCGTGTCAAGTGTGCGACGCTAAAGCTCATCTAATGATGCACTTGCACACACAATCAAACACATCTGTGTACATACATACACATATATACATATATATATACATATTCATCTATATCTAGCAATTGCAGCTCTTGAAAAGCGCTTCACTGACTTTCAACTATTATTACCAAACAGACTCTTGGGGGGAGAGGAGCCAAAACACCAGGATATGACACCCTCAGCCACTCACTGTTTGCAGAGCAAACAATTTGATGGAATTTAATTTGATTTGCTTTCTACTTTTGAGCATCAAAGCACATTACAAAATTGTATCGATAAAAGGCTATTTATAGTTTTTATTACATTAAAAAGGTCGCTGGGGTTTCCAGCTTTCAAAGTTGTTTATATATGAATTGCGAATATATGTAGCAGTGTATATGAAATATATAAATATATTTTGCTATGTATATGGAGCAAATTCTAGAGTTTAATTTTGTAAATCAAATTTTTGTTATTTTCCCTATTCAGTTTATTAGTTACAGCTCATTATTTCCAAATGTGGTTGTATACCTTAACTAATGTGTAAAATCTGAATTTCTTTCTAAGCAAGCAGCTCGAGAAGTGTGATATCTAGAGATTAGAATTCAAATTCTTATAGAATTTTATAGCAATAGCATATACATTGATCTATGTATCTACGTAAACTGATAAGGAAACTTATAATTATCGTTAATTTTTCGATTTATATGAAATCGCATAGATATTCATAACCAATTTCATGTCAATCGTAGCTTGATTCACCAGAGCTTTAAAATATCTCAAACTATTTATGCTTATATATCAAATTCTCCAATGAAATTGGATGTTTTCTGCATTTTAGTTCGAGCCGATACTCAATTAATAATTTCACCCAGCCTTAACTAACATCATAAATCGAGCCTAATTGAGAGCTTAAATTTCATGGTGCATTGAAACGTTTCATTTATGCAGTTAAGCACTTATTATTGAACTATATATTATATATGTGTATGTATGTATTATGGCTTTTTAATTGAGTGCAAATTGTGATGGCAATGCCAACAGTTTATCAACTTCAATTTGCTTTGGAATGTGGGCAAAAATATTTTGTCGAATAAAGTTAACTTGACAGCTCTTGATAAAGTTCTCTTGAATTAATGCGTTTCTTTTTTTTTGTTAAGTTGCAGTAAATTGCAATAAATTAAATTTGACTTAAATACAGTTGCATAGCCACGCACACACGCGAACAAATTTAATTAAAAAATGGCAAATAAAAGTTGACTTCATTTAATTTGGTTACGTGGAATGGGAAGACGCGACGCGAATGAGATTTGCAATGTGAATGCTAATGGCTTGACGATGACAGTAACTGACTGACTGACTGACTGACTGGTTGACTGACTGAGTGAGTGAGTGACTGTTTATGTCTCTTGTGCGCGTCGTGACGTTTGGCTAACGACTAAAGGCGCTGCTCAGACCGCAGCAGCCTTTGGTTCGACACGAGCTGTCAGAAGGAAAGGCGGAAATAGTGCCTGTAAGTAGGCAATGCCTGTCACTGAGGCAGTAACATGTGTGAGTGTCTCTGTGTGTGTGTGTGTGTGTTTGTGGCTTGTGTGTGCTATGAATATCTAGCGAGAGCTCTGTCCGTCTCTCTCTCTCTCTTTCACTCTTAACTTTTCCTGCTGTCGCTGGTCGCAGCGCTTTGTCTCGATTAACATGAGCATTGTTGTTAGTTATATATATATTTATCATTAAGCGCAACAGGAGAGGCGCACACACACACACAACGTGGCCAACAATTTCCGTGCTGCTGCAAACGCCGCTGGCATGTCAATAATGCTCAAAATGTAACTGCCATGCCAAAGCCTTGTCAGCGCGTGGGCGTGGCGCCGCAGCCCGCTGCCCTTAAAATGCAAAAAAAAAACAAAAATAAAGAAGAAGCAGAACAACAACAACAAAAATAAAATAACGGCGACCCTTGCTACGTGTGTGCCTGTTGAAGCGTGCGGCAGTCGGGCAGCCGCTGCTCATCCGCATGCTTCAATGGGCGCTCATTGCTTTAACCCCTCGCTCTGTCTCTCTCATGCTCATACTCTGTCTCTCTGTCTTTGCTGAGAGTGTGAGTGTGTGTGTGTGGGCAACGTAAGCGTTCATAAAATGTACTGCTCACACATACAGACACACACACACACACTCACACAACCGCACCACCTTATTAAGCCACATTTTGGCACCCGCAAAAATTGCTCTACGTATACTTAATAATTTTTTCATACAAATGGCAAGCTATTTGCGTGTGAGTGCGTGCCGCGCTTAAAGCATATTTAAATCAAAACGAGCTAACCTAACCATAAATAGACATCAAAGCGCTGCAATGGGGGGCGTGGCACATGGAATACACTCGGAGCAATTTGCGTGCTGCTCTCACGCTCAGCTGCACTCCTGAGGGCTTCACTGAGCAAAGCCAAACACAGCAACGGCTGTTCGGCAGGCGGGCGAGGAAAATATATTCAAAAAAAAAAATAAATAAATGATAAAAAGGTCAATGCGATAGTGAGACGAACGAGCCCCAATGCAAACTTCAATTAAATGTCACGCAGTGCGACATCTTTTGTATTAGGAGAGTAGATGCAATAGACAGGCCATCGAAGAGAAGTTCGAACTTGAATTTCTTTTGTGTAGCGGGGATGAAAACTTAAATTTATTGAGTGAAAAGATTTGTACTTTTAAATGGATAAACATTGATATATATTCTAATTAAGAAGTTTTAATATTCTCTTTAAGTGATTCCTCTCCCTTTGCAGTTTTTATTCTAATTGGAGTAATGCCCCAAAAAGTAAGATTCATTCCATTTAAAGAGTAATCCTCTACTGTAAATTTGATTACGTTCCAGTTGGGTGCATAATGTATTCCAATTGAATGCATTCTATTTTACAGTATAGTCATTTAATTTAAAGCGGGTTTGTAGCTATTTGAATATTTTTCAACAATTTAAAAGGAAAATATCCACATAAAGAGTCAAAAATATATTTAAGTTTTATAATAATAATAATATAATAATTATCAATAAATACAGAAGAGTTTGTCGATTTTTGTTACATGATTTCTACATATTTCTAATTAGATTTGGAATCTCAAGTCAATTGCATTTACCTATCTATCATTCCATATATTGTATTTAACATGAAGATCTAATGCTGTCAATCTGGCGCCGCTTGGTTTCTTTACACAGCTCTCGAGCTGTGTGCGCAATTAATAGATTTCTAATGAGAGCAGGAGTGCAGCAGTGCAAAGGATAACGGATGCGTGAGGAGAGCAAAGCAAAGAACACATTCGTTCACTTGACACGGCGTCGCTTGAGCTGCGGAGCTGCGTGTTTGATTAACCGGCAGATAAGCACGCAGAGCCACGGAGAGCAGCTGCGGACCACACTCCGTCAAGGACTTGCTGCCGACAACTTTATCAACATTATTATTTAATTTGCTGTGGCGCTGAGCGGCTGGGCGGCTGGCAAGGAAGATGTACAGCAGAGCTCAAGATGGATGCAAGGAGCGCTCGGACTGCGTGACCAGCTGGCGCTAATTGTCTGCACACGTGCGTCGCATTATGAGAAATAATGAGATATAGATACAAACACACACACACACACACACTCACACACACACACACACAAGCACAGGCTGTTGCTGAAAGAAAAACTTTTCAATTTGTAAACGTGTTTCCCTTTTTTTTATGGTTTTCTCAGTTACTTTTTTCGCTTGTGCTTTGTTTTTTGTTTTGTTAAGGCTTTCAGTTTTATAATTAGAATTTAGTGCAGGGTTTTGACCAAAATCAAGGGCCAAGCTCGTGGCCGCGTTTTGACGTCAAATTGCAGGCGTTGCCGCACCCGCAACCGCACCACGCCGCACCGCCCCGCACCGCCCCAGTTAAAGCCAGCCAAAAAGTTGGCCTACTATAAATAGTTCTAGCGTTGACTGCAATTTAAAGCTTTGCCACGACACGCGGCGCTCGCAGTGACGCACAAGCCTGACGAGACATGGAAATAGTTGAGCCGCCAAAGGGAATTCATGTTTGCTGTTCTTGTTTTTGGGACACGCAATGCTCGCATTGCTCATTTGTTAGCATATTCACTGGGAGGCGTGTTGACTATAAAGAAAAACAATATTGATTTTCCTTAACTAAGTTGAGTTAGTTGTGCAAAGTGTACAAATATTTGCTCAATGGCATTTGGATGTTTGGTATAACACCCAGGAGAACGCTCATCTTACTGTTAGTTGGTATAGCTAATATTTGGTAATGATCAATAGAAGGATAATAGGAGTTGGGACCAAGCAAGACATATCCTGTATAACACGATAGTAAAGGTATCGATTAATCGACCATTATATATATCGAAGATCCACTAGCGATTGTTGGATCGAATTGTTTTGAAGCTTTTGGCGCTGGCTAAAAGTTGACAATGGTATCTATAGTAACGATACATTCTTATCGATAGTTTATATTCACAATTTGATCTTCATCAACCGACTAAAATTATATAAAAGCCAATTTTATCATAAAAAATAAATGCTTTAAAAGAGCCTATGATACAGTTACAGCCGATAAAGTTTCGATTGACTAGAGTAAGCTGGTGATACATGGCATCCACAGATTTGATTGCTGGCAGCAATCGATAACAACAGCGATCAACTGTCCATATGCACTTCAATAGGATCATAAACTTGGGACTCTGATTATTCGTCCCCCACTTACCATCGCCTTCCTGTGAGTTGACGCTTTGATTATCATCGGCGGTGATTTCGGTATTGCCTGTGGCTGGCCGATTAGCCTGAAGTTTGTTAAAATAGTCGGCAGCAAAGTCAATCAGATCCGGCGGCTGTTCGACCAAATACGAAATCGAGAACTGCAAGAGCACCTCCTTCAACTCATCTGGAACCTGGATGCGTCGACTCGAGTCGGTAGACATGTTTGTGCTGAAAAATGCAAAAGAAGCCCATATGAGACAGCTGCTATCAATATATACAAAACAGAATGAGGCATAGAAGTCATTAGATAAACATCAATCAACATTTTGATGGATAAGTTGGTGCGTCAGCAGCTATTGCTTTATCTCTTGGCCAGAGTCTTAAAAATAGATTGATAGATTACACGGATTCGCATGAATTTCGCAATGCCAAAAATAAAATGTTATTTTTATTGAATTACAAGGAATTGTATTTGGGCATTATTTGAGAGTTCATTGGAACATACAAGAGGTGATATTTAGTGGAAATTGTTGCCCCAACAAGTGTCAAGTGCTGGGCATGGGAACAGCGCTCAAAACAATTTACAACTAATTGTAGCAGCGAGACCTCAACTGACGCTGACATAAACATTATATGGGAATAAATACACATGTACATAGACATATATAAATGGGTATACGGGTATACATGCATACACATGTTTTTGTCAGCTATAGTCTAGAGTAATCTAGTGCCTCTCGTCGGCTTTAAACAGCGCCTCTTTATGCCCATTTGTGTAATTTGTCACGCGTGAGTTTGACCTCGAGCTAGTTGAGTGGCCCCTCGTTGCGCCCATGGGTCATTTATATATATTTTTATTTACATTCTCATTTTCATTTTCATTTTCATTTTGTTTTGTTTGTTTGTTTTATTACTTTTTGGCTATCCACGGAAGCTACAATACAATTCCCAATTCAACACCTCTCATCAACAGCCATACAAATGTAAACAACTGCAACAACAAGTACAACAGTGCCAGCAGCAACAACAACTACAACAACAACAACAACTATAAACATTACCATAACTTCAGTTCATTCGTTTGTTATTCGCGTCATCGAGCAGCGCGTGATTCAACATTGCACAATTTATTTTTCGTTGTTCTTTTAATTTGGGTTTTTGTTTTTATTTTTATTTTCAATATATGTATATACATATATACATTTATATATATTTTTTTCAGATTTTGTCGCCGGCTTGTTGCGTTCGTAGAAAACGTAGAACGTGAGCTTCATGTCAATTATGCGACTGCAGCGATGCCACGAAATTTCATACACAAAATGAGATATGTGTATGTGTGTGTGTGTGTGTGTTTGTGAGAAATATATAGTAGTTCATATATTTATATACACGTATGCATAATGACTGAATAATCCATCAGCTGTACGCGCTTAATGCTCTTGCAATAGTTATTTAATTTAATTTTACTATATATATTTTCTTTAATACTTTCATTGTTATTATTACTGTCATTATCATTGTCATTGTCATCATATTTTTTAATTATTCATGTAGTAATTCTTAGCATTAGCTAACCAACCATCCATGAACTCATCTCCAATTTCAGGCTTGCAAATTAACAAATTCCTCATGCAATTACCTTAATGCCGACTCAACTAGTTGCCAAACACCTCACTAATTATTTAACATAATTAGGTCATTTAATTACCCAACGATTTGCCTGTTTAATTAATTGTGCTTTAGATTATATTAATATAGTTATATTTGTCACAAGCCGAGCAGAGCTCTTCATGCTTTGCACTTGCTCTCTAAATGCTTCAATTAATTTGAAATTTCTCAGAAAATTGGCTACCCCCAGCTCACCCACTCTTCAACACCCTGCCACCCGCTGATTCCCGCATTCCCTCTGCGATGACTTAATCGCATTATCTGATATTTCTGCACGAACGCAATATTAAATACTTGAAAAGTTTTTCTTGCCGTCAAGAAATGCAAAAACAAAGCAATTTACGTATTTCTATTATGCATGAAGTATGCAGCAATGTGGGCGGGGTGGGCAGAAGTGGGCGGGCTGGTAAGATAGCTAACTGCTTGCTTGAATATTTGCTATAGCACTTAGTGCCAGAACATGGCCAGAAGCATTTAACAGTCAAGTGAAAATTGTCAATTGGCAATTGGCAGTTGGCAGTTGGCTAAATGGGCTAAAATCAAATGTGACAGCAAAAAACTCAACAGGAGATGGGGTAGGAGGTAGCCTTTATTAGTTTGTAATTTTGATTTTAATATTTATTTATTCGTCGCTTTCTGGCCGCAGGCCAAGTTGAATATTAATGAACTTAATTGAAAAAGTTCGGCTCAAAAACACAAACTGTGTAGGTATACAAAGAGGGGGGAGAGTGAGAGTGAGAGGGCGCGAGGGTGTATGTATGCGTGTGTTGATTCGCAGCAAACAGGCAACAACTGCAACAACAACAACAACAACAACTGTTGCTGCTGCTGCTGCTGTTGCTGCTCCTGTGCCTGCGTCGACAGCCGGGGCAAAAATTAATTTCCAAAATTACGACAAATAAAATGTTGCGGGCAACTTTTCAACAGCCAAACGAGAGTCGAACCAAAGGGGCAGATGAGGTGGGGCGTGGCGGAGGCAGAGCTGCGCCCACACAACAATAACTGTAGCTCAATGCGCAATTTACATAATTACGCATATTTGACTCAAACTTATAAATATTTATGTAGCTAGAGCTTTTCAATGAACTTCACGCTGGCATCCAGGAGCCGTAAAGCCAGCGACTGCCGGGGGTTGCAACAGTGAGTGCAAAATATATGTTGACTGCGGCGAGTAGCTGCGTACATGTGGCATGCACTCAGAACTTGCGCTGAAAGTATTTGAGTAAGATTTATGCAAACTTCAAGAAGAGATTCAATTTTCGTGAAAGTTGAGGACAAAGTGAGGGAATTCCTGAAGTTGTGAATATTAATAAGACGAAAAACTAACTGTGGAAAGTATATGTGAAATATAATAGATAGAGTTGAGGGATAACTGTTATTGTCATCACTAGAAGTTTGACTTTCCCAGAGTTTCTATATCTATTTATCTATATTATCGTCTGCTTATACTACTCACTAGCTGAAGTTGTAAATTTTAATAAGACAAAAAACTAACTGGGGAAGGTATATGTGAAATATAATAGAAATAAATAGAAATATGTCATAAATATAAAAAAAAAAAAAATATAAATAATATTTGTAAAGTTAAAAATATGAAAAATTCTTGACATTAAAAAGAAATAAAAGTTTTGTTAGAAAAAATAAATATATTAATATTTATTATTATTACTATTATTAAGCATATATTATTTAATATTTACTAAATGTATTTTTTTTTAATACAATTATTATATTAATATTTGAAAAATATAGTCTTATACTATATAAGTGCGTTTACGTAAAGTGAAAAGAATTTATTTCTCAATGGCTGCACACACCTGTCTGGCGAATGAATCAACTGCCTCAACGTGATTTTATCAATAGGCGCAGCAAGAAAATGCGAAACAAGAATAGAAAAAAAAAAGGAAAAAAAGCAGAATAAAACTATTGGCGACTGGGCGAGTTGTTTGTTGCTATTGGCTGCGACGAGGCGGCCAATTAGTGGGTCAAGGTGGTTTACTCAGAGACTACGCAATGCACTGCATAAATAAATTATGTGCTTTCAAAGCGACAGCTTAAAATAGCGCAGAAGTAAACGATAGATAGACGGAGGGACGGATGGACGGACAGACTGGCTGACGATTGGACGAGTTGCAGTTTGGCATGAAATCGAGTTAAGCGGCTTCAGCTGTATACGGGCACGGACCAACACAAGTGGAGCAGAAAAGGTCCTCGCTATTAGACCAGCAGACAAACACCAAAAGTTAGTTGAAGGACCAGTAGCAGGAGCAGGAGCAGCAGCAGGAGCAGGAGCAGCAGCAGCAGCAGGAGCAGGAGCTGGAGCAGCAGCAGGAGCAGCAGTGGACGCGTGCTGGGGCGAACAGAAAGAAACTTAAGCCATGCTCATTTCCTTACAATTTCCGTTGTTAGTTCCGCAGTGCGAGTGGGGAAAACAGAGCCAGAGACAGATGGAAAAATGCACGCAGCATCGAGTGTGTCTGGCAAATTGCATTTGTGTACGTTGGGGCGTATGCGCAATGTCGCCAACTGCAATTTCAGCAGCAGACAAATTGTCAAATCTGGCAACAGTTGAGGTCAAGCGCTGCCAACTTGTGCGCAGCTTTTTTTCTCTCTTTTTCTTTCTGCTCAGCCCCCCCTTGATTGAGGATGAGATTGCTTTAAATACTGTTTGACTACAGTTTAGAAACTTTTTCAAGTAACTCTCAGCGGAGAATAGAGAACATAAAGTGAATGGTAAATACTCTAAATTTTCTGAAATGTTTTTGTCGTAATGCATATGATGAACTTGTTGAATCGGTTTTGTATTCATTATTCATAAGGAAGTATTGTATTTAACAGATTAATTATCTTGTATCTTGTCTAGGTAAAGTATTTTTTTTTAGGAGAGAGAATACTTTTATACTCTTATTTGTTTATAGTTTTTTACCTGTTTATATTATTTTATATTTATTTTTTATTATTTTATATCGCTTCTCATCTCTGTTTCAGTTCCTCATGTAGTCTCTTATATGAACTTAATCGTCTAGTATCTTGCTTTGTTCTTCCATATGTTCTCTTTCTTTCTCTCACTCTCTCTCTATGTCTATCTCTCTGTCTCTGTTTGCTTTTCATTCCTTTCATCATCAGTCTTTTCCCCCTTTAAAATTCATCCACATTCTCATATAGTCCATTCTCCCTCTCTCTCTCACTCTTCTTTCGTGTGCTTTCTCGACTAGTCTTCCTCCTCCCCTCTAGCATACTCTACCGTCTAGTCTACTCTCACGTCTAGTCTATTCCCCGTTGGGGCTGTCTTCACGCCTCTTATCTAATTTATGTGTGCGCAATCAGCAGTCCACTTGAGTTGGCATTCTTAAAGCTGTCTGGTCTCTTTAATTGTTGCTCCCTTTTAAAGCATGCTGTTTTCGCATCTTTATTATACACTTCGTGTAGCCGGCAATATCTTTGGTTGTAAATCTAAAAGTTTTCACTTAAATAAAGTAAAAGTTTTCTGCTCGCAAATCAGTTTAAGCAATTTCGCTAATGTTATGCACGCTGCGTCCTGCTGAGTTGTTGCCACATGC